TTAATAGTCAGTATTAATTATTTCAACCAGTGTCGTTTAAATTGCACAAAAGCATTTGCAGCTTATTTGGCTGTATTTAAATGTAAAATGTAGTTATTGATTTCTCGTGTAACCTTTTTTTTATCCAAATACAGCATTGATTAAAGTTTGTGTAATACTATGAAATGAAGCCAGCTGTTTCTCCCATTTAATATCAAAATAAAACCCAGTATTTCACTTATCCCAGCCAAGTGGTTAAAATTCGGGGAAATTTCGCTCACCACGCTATGTGCGATACTCTTTCAACACACTCGCACACATACAAGCAGTAAGTCCAGCTGTGGCATGTGCGCATGTGTGTGTGTGTGTGTGTGTGTGTGAATGTGTGTGTGTTTCGTTTAGCTCGTGTGTCGTTTCCTTGTTGTGCTACTGACTCCGACACTGACTGGGACGCTTGTCGGTTGTCGGTTGTCGGTAAATCACAACCATGGCACGGCACACGGCAATCAGTTTGTGTTTGGCTGTGTAACGCGTAACGCAAGCTTTCGCACGGCCTCGCTCGTCATTTTCAGTGCGGTTCAGCTCGACAATTTCTACGCAACTTTGTCGAATTTAGACCAAAGGAAACAATCACGAAAAAAAATCAAAAAGTGCAGCTACGACATATTGTGTGATTTGCGCGGAAAGTGAAAGGCGACAACAGTTTCTATTTACTTTATTTTTTCAAGTGTGTGCCTGTGTTTTTTTTGTATTGCTTGCCGCTAAGGTAGAAAGCTCAACTATATTTTTAAAACAGATATTTATGTATATCAATTAAAATGGATTTTGTTTTGTGTGTGGCAAAGCAATTGTTGACTACTTATACGCAGAATATTATAGTATTCATAATGTCTTGACAGCAGCTTCAAATGGAAGGATAGATGTGTGTGTGTGTGTGTGGGGGGGGGGGGGGGCAACTTAGCTGTTGCCAAGGCCAACACAACAGCAGACGCACTGGCGCCATTTTCGAGCTTGCCTGTTTTATGTGCCCAACAGATATAATATAATATAAAATAATATATATATATAAATATATATGACATGTATACTCAGCCAGCAGTTTTTTTTTTTGCGATCGAATTGTGTTTGCTTTTCATTTTTCTTTGGTGTTATTCTTGTTTTTTTGTAATTCTCTTTATTTTGCTTATTATTTTGCGTCTGCCCTTGAGTGGGGTATTATAATTTGAACGCGAAATGTGAGACACTTTGAAAAATACAGCGATTCAATCAAATATTTGTGTATACAGGAGCTCTTGACTACTGTTATTATTCAGAAATAGTCAATGCAGAAATTAGCTAAGATTCTGCCTGATTGGAGATCTATAAATTATAGCCTTCACAACAACCGAAAAAAGAAAATTTGAAAATTGTGAGAAACCGAGAAAGAATTTAATTCTTGTGACAAACGTTAATGGCATTAAATGAATCAACATGCAGCTAAATTATCGAAATTTGCTATAAGTGTCTTCTTGTTTTTATTATTTAGTTTTTTAGTTTTTTTTGTCAAGAACTTATTTTAAATTTTAGGAGTCAAATCTTCCTTGGTCAAGCTATTTATCTTATATATTTTGCCAGCATTGGAGAGCATTCAATCTTCGGTAGTCTGAAGATAGATAATATATTTTGTTTTTCATTCTGGTAGCATAATTTTTGGCGCAGTGAAGCAGATACACGACCATATTTGATGAATTCCACTGCCAAATAAATGCGTATGTGTTATGAAGGTGTGTGTGTGTGTATACTCGCCATAAATATTTGATGAGCATTTGAAATGCACAAAAAATATCAACAAAGTGTAGCATACTTTTTTGTAATGCCAACAGCGATAGCAGTGCTACAATAAATCCAACTTGCCTGCAAATTCCATATCCGTATATAAAAAAAAAGTTTGACATTTACAAAAAAAATTGCATTACACGCGTTGCACAGCTTTAAGATCCTCCTCGTGCAAGTTGCAAGTCAGGCAGCGTGTCATTAATATGCGTGTGTTCCTGTTCTTGTTGTAGCTGTTGCTGTTTTTGTTGTTCTTGTTGTGCGTGCACGCAAGGCAATTGCATAACGCTACTGTCTCTTCGTAGTGTATATAAGTCCCCTGCTTTAAGCAGGCAGGCAGGTAGCAAGCCAGACATATGTATATTATCTCTAGTGAATTATGGCCTGGCCATATAGATTCCAAAACGGCTCGTCCTTGCAGCAACAGCCACAGCAACTGCTGGCCAATGTCTCCTACTTACACACACACACACACACATATATATATATATATATATATATATATTCAACCACACACAGACGCCAAACATGCACTTCTTCCTACACACAGAAAAAAGAAAGTTTGTTCAACTTGATATAGTATTTTCATTCTTCACTTTGCGCTTTTGTAATTTCAAGTTTCTACTTATGTTTTATGTTTGTATTATTGTAAAAATTAATTTAATACTTTAGAAGAATTGTAATTTGTTATTTGAGTCAAAGTAAATGATGTTGAAATGTGCCTATGAAGAACACCCAGTTTGAATTACATTCATTTAAAATTTTTTTTCTGTGTAATGGGTCTTGACACTGCCCCCACTAGTACGCTGTCTGTCTGTGTGTGTGTGTGTGTATCATCATCGTACATTGTTAAATGGACGATACAAAACTTCAACTCTCAGTCATAGCAACAGCAACAAAAACAACAACAATAACAGGTACAGATGGGGCATGGGGCAACATGTCCGGCTGCCTGGCAAACATGTCGCCTGGCACTGTCTGCTGCTTCTGCTCCTGATCCTGCTGCTGTTGCTGCTCCTGTGTCGAATTACTCGACTCTTGCTCTACTGCAACTTGAAATTAGATCTCGATATACTAGATGCCATCCATAACTCAACCCTCCAGTGCACCCCTGCCAGGCGTCGAACATCCGGGCATATTAAATCAGGCGCATTACATAAGCGCAATAAGCTTCTACGTCCCAGACTAATTGGTAGCAGCAGGGCCCCAACGTTTTTATCCATATTCCATATTCAAACTTATAACAACAACAACAACAACATCTGTTTCCAGCTCCAGTCAGACAGCTGTTCTTCACATGATTTCAGCCCTTTGCTAATTTATTAATAGCAGGCAGCTGAAGCAGCCGCAGCATGAGTGCCACCAGTCAGTGGCTAATGCTGAAAATTGAGTTATTTATGCTTCAAAATTGATTGCTGTTTGTTGTAAATTGCACGCAGCTCCCCTTCTACCTCTGGTCACGCAAGTTAAGCTTATGCCTTATGTATGGTAAATAACAACAACTCAACATGAGTCTTGTTTATTTGCATATTTCGTCACAGTGTCGCTGCAAAGTATGCTAAACTTTTTTATGTCTGGTATAGGGTTTCGCAATTTCATCATGAGGGACGTTTCCGACAACATAAAGTATATATATTATTAATCTGCATTATTAGCCGACTCGATGTAGCCATGTCTCTCTTCTTACAACAATTTTATTTAAAATAAGTTAAACTCGTTCAGCTTAAATGGTAGCGTTGAAACTTGTACGACGAAATAGACCGGATCAGACTTTTATATCATATAGCTGTCAAACGAAGTCGATATATCAATATGTCACATTCAAAATGCAATGTAACCACACAAATGTGTCATATTCAATTCACAGCCAGCATAATAATGTTTCGTACTCTGGAGTAAAATTTAAATGTTGACAGGTTGACTCCGGTCCAAAATTGTATACAACTATAATCTGCTGCTAGTCTGCTTTAGTGGTTGATTGGAAATTTGTACATTCCTACGTGAAAAATATTTTTCAATCAATTAAGATTTGTCGCAAAACCTATGAAATTCTGATTCTGATATAAAATTCATTAAACTTGTTTATTTTTATGTGCCTAGGAACTGAAAAATATGTGCAGTCGATTACTTTTTCCCGTTTGTCCATAATCGCTCTAAATCGGTTAACGCTAACAGCAAAACTGTCAACTTATACATATGTACACTTTTTTCGATGGAGGCCAATGAGCTAATTAAAAACTAAATCGCTTTCTTTAACTATTTCAAATAGAAAGCGAAAGGTGGACAAGGGAGTAGTCATAAGAAATTAAAGTAATACTTGGAAAGCCATACCTTAGATAGCCTTTTACACAAACAATACCGAACAAATTTGTAGGTCTGTATTGTTTGCGTAAAGGGCTGTCTAAGGTATGTGTAAGAATAAATAATGTCAAATAGTTGTTACCACTTCATTCGATAAATATTTGTAGGTGTTGAGTCTGCAGACTTCTCCACCTAATAATCAAGTCAGGTTAGCTGCATTTCATAGGATATCTTGCTGTCAAGGTCTCGTGCATATTTTGTTTACTTATATATATTTTTTATATATTTTGTTGTTTATTATATTTGTTGTCTACTTTATGGCGTTTGCCGTTTCGATATTCGCCCATCAAATGCAAATTGCAAATGACAACAATCAGTTTTCAGTTTCAGTTACTGCAGCGCATTTGTGGTTAAAAACAAACCAACCTAAGCCCCCAATTTACCCCTCCTGTCCCCCTGCCTTGTACTCTTCCGCACTGCAGTTGAGTTCCCCGGGTAACCATTAATCACGTGGGTGACGCCTAAAAGTGCAGCAACTGCTGTGGCATGCAGCATGCGGCATGCAATTAAAAAGCAAACAAACGGAACAGCAACATAAATTTACAACCAGGCAGACACACACACATAGGGAAAGAGATGGGGATAGAGAAAGATAGAGAGGGCAACCGAATGCAACCAATTATTTACCCCGCCCGCACACACACACACAATTTTGTATTCAAATTTAGCGTTGCATTATTTAAGGCGTTGAGTGTTCAATGAGTGACAAACAAAAGAAACAAAAAAAAGAGCAAAATGCTGCCCTAATCGCTAATGGAAACGCCTAAGTGGCAGTCAGTGTGACCAGAGAGAGAGAGAGCGAGGCATCGTTTGGTAGAAAATATAAGCACACGCACACAGACGATCTTAAAGTGGAGTCCCACATGGATGTTGCGGGTACGACGCTGATGCTGGTCGATGCATCACCGACGGAAATGCATCATTCGCATCCACATCCGCTTCACAGCCATCCGCGGCATTTGCAACGCCAGAGCGTTGAGTTGAGCGGCCAAACGTCAAATTCAGAGCTCAGTAGCACAACAAGCGATTCCACACAAAGCAAAGAACTATGTGCCACGTCCGCTGCGGCTGCTGTTGCTGAAACTGGCAACGGTTTCGGCACCGGTACCGGCTCCGCCTCCGCCTCCGGCTCCTGCAGCTCAAATGCAATCTTAACGGAGACAGCGGGCACCTCGAACAGCTCGTCGGGTAACAGTTCGCCCGCTAAGGCCTATGTGCAACATCACCATCTGCATCATGGCTCGCATTCGCATTCGCATACGTTGCACCATCATCATCACTCGCTGCAGCTGCACCACACAGCGCCACCCTCGCCACTCGCCTCGATGCGTCATCAACAACAGCAACAGCAAACAACATCGGGCGCCTCGCCACCCCCCGGGGGTTGTCTGGCTGTCTGCTGCAGTTCGTCGCCTGCCTCGTCGCATCACCATCTGACCATGGGCCATGTGCCACATTTGGCTACACATCATACGCTCTACCCGCTAATGGCTGCCGCCCAGCTGGGTTACGTGAGCTCCAGTGGGCCCAGCTCGCTGGTCAACTCGCCAGCCTTGGGACGACGCAAGCGGTACACAAGCACCTCGTCTAATTGCTCCAGTCAGTTCAACAACAACTATGCCGGACTCGATGTGGACTCGCTGGATGACATGTTGCGAAAGGTAAGACATGAGGCATTCCCGCTGACACTCAAACTATTCAAGACTATCTCCGAAAATTTCAGCATTTTCTTTTTTTCTTTTAAATTTTTAAGAAATGGAAATATAAAACTTTCGCCCAAATGTAAACAAATTTCTTAATATTGTCAAAACTGTAGTATAAGCACAATTATCAGATAGAATCCCAAAAATGTAAAAATAGCACACAGAAGCTGGCATCCCTTAAGGGTGCATTCAAAAATAATACCCCTCAAAGTCAATCGCACGCAATAAGCAATATCTCTAACACATTTGGCGACATTGGAAAATTTCCTTGGACCTTACTATATATTCATAATATGCTTTCAACTTATCGTAGGGGGCAATGCCATTGCGGCAATAGAGAAATTGAGTGCTCCCCTCTCTCTTCCTGTATCTGGCTCTCTTATTCCGTCGCTGCATCTACTACTCGCCGTCCATTATTCGTCCTTTTATGTCTCTCTGGGTTGTCTGCTGTCTGTCTGTCTTTCCGCCATAGCCATAAATCTCGAGCCTAGTCCGGCGGCACAGCGTATGGCATGGCTGTTGCAGCAAGACGTGCACCGTATCCGCAAAAAAAAAGAATATTTATACATGCAACGCTTTTTACGTGTTGAACATTTTTAAGTGCGGAGGCGACCCATAAATAATATGCAAAATAAAATGGATTTTTTTTTTTATATTTTTTCTTTTTATGAATGGTTTTGTTTGGCTTTTTTTTTGTGTTGCGCAGCGGCATGCAAACAATTTAAATTTGTAATGCGCCTCGAACGAAGTATGCCTAGTAAGTAATAGGTGGGAGGGAGCTGCAACAATGCTGCTGACCATCCTGGTAATGCAGCCAGCGTAACCGTTTCAGCCAATGGGCGCATATATTTACATTACGCATACGTACATGTATCGTTACGTTTACGTATCGGAACGATTATTTTGGGCGCTTGCATTTTATTAGCGATAATGAACTCCACGTGCGGCAGCGCGAAACGATGTGAAACTAAACAAAACCGTTGCATACCTTGTGGTATGTGGTCCAACTCTCCTCGTCCCCCTTATACCCTGTACTGTAAGCCTAAAACTGGCTAGGCACACACGCTAGGATATCACAGACTACTACACCGAATGACAGACATACTTTGCTTGTCGGAATTTATGAAAATCAAAGATTTTAAATTCTTTATACTCTCAGCACTATTGCTTTTATTTTCAATAGATTGTGTTAGAAAAACTTCATTAAATATCGCTTGCATATTGATTTATACAGCATACCTTTTTTAAAATGTGTTACTCATTTGGAATAATGCTATGGACTTGCCATATTATGCTTAGCATTACGTGTACATGTTTTAGGGTATCGGGTCGTCTAGCTCACTCTGCGTTTAGATCACTCTAAGTTGTTTCTATTGTAAAGTGTCGCATTGCCACAGGATTGCAGTCGTGCCATGGGTCGATGTTTGATGTTGGTATCGTTGGTATTGGCTGACATTGGTGGCGCCAACACTCTTAGCTGCCATTCTACTCCTGCATTGCATTTGTGGCCGCCATAATGGGTTGACGGGTTGCTAGTAACGCTCCTGCGAACTGCGGCATGGCTGTTGCAATTGCCATTTGCTATTTGTTGTTTGCGAATGCGATTCCAATTTTGTTGTGGCATACTTTTGAACCAGGCGCGTGCATAATGGCAATTTGAATAATGTGCCAAAATATGCAGATATTTTTATTGTTTGCAGCAGCGCTCCGCTCCGCTCCACGCTCCCATTTACTTCTATCCGTCTTCTTATAAACTGGGCCACTTGCTGACAATCGAAGTTTCGCTTTGACGTTTGTCATAAGCACTGCACTGAAATTACATAGAAATGGGCACAAACACTGTGCGGCAATAGACGAATTGACGAGGTCAAAGGCAAAACGGCAATACACAGAGACAGAGACAAAGAGAGATAGAGAGAGAGAGAGAGAGGGAGAGAGCGAGAGAGAGAGAGAGACATGCAGAACTTAAATCGAATCGGAGAACTAAATAACAAAACCAACAGCAGCAACAATCACACAAACAACAACGAGTCCAAAGTTGATATCGAGTTGCGTCTCAAGATTGAAGCTTTTTTTGTGGCACATTCAACGAACTTTTTGGGCTGCCCTTTTCAAGTGATTCGAGTAAATCCAATCCGAAAATATATCAAATACTTATTTGCGTTTTATTAGAAAATTACTTAGAACGCATACAGTGTGGCCAGCTGTGTTCGAAATACGTCTCAGCTAGATAAAGAGCCAACAAATTGGTGACTTGTCTCAGCTCTAATATAAGTAGCCTCAAGACTAGGCATAGTCTTTGACAGCAATGTGACCAGCTGCATTTTCAAGTAGTAGATAGATAGAATTCTTTGATGTATTCCTTCTCTAATGTGTATAAGCAAAGCAGCTGCAATTAAATTCAGTTTGAAGTACATGAACAAATAAGAATAAATCGCAAGGCTTATGCTTCGAAATAAATATAAATAAAAGCCCAATCCAAATTAGCAACGATACCTTTAAAATCTCAATAATCTATACGTATCATTCTATATCTTTGTGTCCATTGGAATGTATTAAATAATAATCTAAAAATCTAAATATAAATATATAATGAAACTCTAATAGTTAAGCAAGTAAGTCTCTGTTCTCTATTATATGGTTAAGTGCAATTAAAACAGAATCAGCATGAAACATTTGTGTTGGACCTACAATAACTATTATGTATATTTCGTGTTGTCTGTTTCTTTTTTTTTATACCCTGAACCCATAAAAAAAGTTTAATTGGGTATAATTTGTGGTTGTTTTATTTTGTGGCAAATTATTTTTTCGATAACAGTCCGCCATTTCTGGTAGCAATAAAAGATACAATTTCAAAGGTAGAGTCTTTCAAATAACTTATAATATACATTGATAAAATCCACAAATCAGCTCGGGCTTGTGGATGTATATGAGCATTGCCATAGTTTTTTTTTACACTTCAGTACCTATGCTGGTCAAAAGAAATACGAGCACTACCACTCATGCATATATTTGAGTGTGCTAAACTTTTTAAGGGGAACTTTGGCAATAAAACTAGAATATTAACAGCTGGGTTCTGGGTATACCATAATCGAGCTACTACTATTCGGCAACAGCTATCTTACATGTTTTGGTTTACGTTCGCGTTTATTGGCCTTATCAATGCCATTTTTATGGTCCGAAATCGCAGACCAGCAGCTCACAATTATTTAATCTATGCGGCACCGAAACAAAAAATGCCTGACTAAAGATTGTGCACACCAAAATATAATTACGCTCGTACATGTGTATGTATTTATTTATGTGCAAGAAAAGGGGGACGAGTCTTGCCTTCTCATTGGCATTGGGTTAGATATGTTTGTATATGCCCCAGCCGCTCGTTAGCCGCCATGAAATGCCTTCGTTCAGGGAGCTGTGGCAGTCGACAAATGAGCAGCCGCCCGCATGACCCCAAAACTGCTACACAATACACATCTCAAGCAAGTACACACACAAATAAACAAACAAAGAAAACGCACACACACACACACACACACAACAGAGTCACACACCTTCAACACCTCCATTGTGAAATAATGTTTTTATAAGCCACCTTTATGTAATGACAATGGGGAATCATTAAATGTTTATATGCGCTTTTTTTTAATACCCTCTTACTACTAAAGGGCTAAGTAATAGGTATAAGAAACAAACTAATAAATTCAACATACAAACTTGGCTGTATTCGGATATTTTGCAATAATATAGCTGCCATAGCTGCCTGTGGAAAGATGAGTTCTTGCACGAAAAACATACTTTTTGCATGCCAGGGTATATCAACCATGCTTAAATCTTTCGAGTGTTATCAAAATTATCAGATTTTCTTGTACATTTTGTTTTCGTTTAGCCGCTATAAGTCTTATATAGCAATGTGCTATTGTCAATCATCTTAAATATATTGCAATTATGAACTTCTTCCTCTTCCTTCGTTTGCTTTTTTTAAGCTTACAAATGAGAGTGGGAGAGCGAGAGAGATAGATAGATCTCCCTGTCTCTAGTAAGCTTTAAAGTCTGATGCTGATAAGAATTGGGAATCATTTTCATTTCGCATATCGTGTAAATCTATCAGCAAAGCTAACAGCTAACGGGACTTGAGTATAATGCGGGTATATGTAGGAATAAAAGGAATGGGGAGGGGGATTGATAGACGTAGCTAATTTTGAGACGGCACGCATTTATCTTGCGCCACATGTTGGCAATGCTGCCAACACACACACATGCAACCCTTCATATGAGATTTCCTTAAGCGCTACTTCCCAGAATAAGCCAAAAAAAAAAAACAGAAGAAAAAGACGAAAAGCAGTAAAAAGCCAACAGAAAAAACAAACACACACACACACACACAACCAGCGTCATAAAATAGCAAAACTAACGATCTCGGGCAGCACAACAGCCCCAGAGTAGACAACAAAAAATAGTAAGAATAGCTAGTCTAAAACGCCTGACTTGGAGATACCATTTAACTGGCTCTAAAATATTTAAATTTTCTAAGAAAACCACAGGTACTATATTTATTGCCAAACTTTCCATTGAAAGCCTTTGCAAAATCAAATGCAAGCAGATAGTTATGCAATTGCTAACTGAAAGTATACACTGAAAAATTGTGGCTTTTATTACTAACCGAAATCGATTCAAAGCGATTTGAGGGAATCGTGAGAGATTCGCAATCAAACGAAATGTGAATTTATATATTTTAAATTTCTTAAGTTGAATAACTAGATTGACTGTGTTAATATCCTTCCCTCTGTCGGTTACATACGTTTGCACAATTTAACAATATTCCCGTTTACCTATTTAAGTGGATACAAGGTATAAAAAGGGTTACCGCTTAACCGCTCCCTTGCCTCCGCCCCTAAACCGATCCCTTTAGCTATGTGCGTGTCCATCAAGGGATTTCCCTTCAATTAGGATTAATACTC